ATTGGTCATATCTTACGCAGTAACTGCCTTTTAAAAGAAGTTATTGAAGGAAAGATAGAGGGGCGAATAGAAGTGACCAGAAGACGAGGAAGAAGACGTAAAAAGATGCTCGATGACCTTGGGGACAGAAGAGGATATTCTAATTTGAAGGAGAAAGCTCTAGATCACATTAAGTGGAGGAACTGTTTTGGAAGAGACTGTGGACCTTTCGTCTTGACAGATTACTGATGAATGAATGATCATGTTATTTTCTAATTTTTAAGGTCAAAATGCTCCCTGGCAGACAATAAAAATAGAATCAGCACCCTTAAAGGATATTTTTGAAAGAAAACAACTATGTATCAATTTTATGAGGCACTAAGACAGAAACTTTAAATAATAAAGACATTCTTCATGGCAGTAAATTAATTTCTTGCTACATATTTCCCACTTTTATGTAAATATTTTAGCAAGGCTTTCTGAACAGATGTAACACATATAGTTCTGCAACAGATATCTAATATACTACGAATTTATTCATTTTAAACTATGGCAGTCATTTTCAACCTGTAGGTCACAATGGTGAATAAATAAGTGCAATGTGCTATATTTTGTAAAATTATGCTTCTGAAATACCAACTGTTAGAGAAAAATTAGCAGCTGTTTCAGCTATATTTTTTTCCTTATGCACAGCAAATACCAGCAAAAGATTTTACAATGACTTGGAAATACCATTCGGCTCAGTTGTTTCTTTTTTCTGTCTGTGTGTTGCCAACTAGTGGGTGACACAATCAAAATGGTTATAAAGCTGTCCTATGGAATAGCATTGATTAACTTGTGCTTTCCAATGATTACACATGTCTGCTTCCAATGTGTATTTTATTCCCAATATGTAACTGCATACATACCCTGATAACGGAACTGTTTCACTGAACCAAATTTGGAGTTCATTCACTCTTCTCAGGACATCTATGTAAAAACACAGGGTTACTAGTATCCTTAGGGTCTGGTTTAATATGGAGACTAAAACTATACCAGAATTAACCAGGTCAGCAACTAACAGTGATGGTCTAATGTATGAGAGTTTAGTAATACCACCTGAATTAATTTGGATTTCAGCATATTCAGGACTTGTTATTCATGATGCAAGGACTGAATATATGACACAAAGTATCACAAGTTGACTTCAGACCTCAAAATGGGACATGCAAAGCTCAATCTCATTTTTGAACAACAAAATTATTTCACTCTGGTATTTGCTAATGGACAGAAAAATTAACTCCCCATAAGGAGTACTAAGCTTCATATATGTAATACCTTATATGTCTACTTCTCTTTGTGAAGAACATTAAAAAATTAAGCACTATATTAGAGCTGTGGAGGTCAACAGTCAACAATACTTTTTCTTGCCTCTAGCAATAAGATCACTTTTCATATAGAATAAATTAATTATAAATTCATGCACAGACGCACACACAAAATGTAGACATATGGGTGCTGGAGGGGCAAGCCAGGTACCTGCCCCCACTCCAGATTTCTTGCAAAAAATCAAAATTGAAGAAACACAGAGATGAACAAATATTAAAATTATTTTAAAAATGTATTCTTCTAACCTGAACACCCTAGGGTATCTAGTAACATTAGCCCTAAATAGTTCAAGCAACTTAGAAAACAAATTTTCTGATTGTGAAACAAATTATTGACTATGTGCGTACACATTATCCCACTTGGATCTAATCTTCAATACATCTATTTGAGGGGGGGGGGATTCCATCATATCTCCTGATGTGAACAAACTGAAACACAACCAGCAGAAGTTTTCAGCCCTCTGTTTCAATCATTTTTCCCCCATGTCCATTAAAGTTATGCTCATGCTTTAGAGCAGTTAAAGTCACAAGTCTTCCATGAGGAGCTTAGTATAACGACACAATACAGGATGGATGGCTAAGGAATTTGGGGTTCAGTTCTCAGCAGAGGTGAGAGATTTTCTCTTCTTCACAGTATCCATACCAGCTCTGAGGCCCACCCAACCTCCTATAAAACAGGTAGTAATGGCTCTTTCCCCAGGTGGGTAAAGTGGCAGGGATGCAAAGCTGACCACTTATCTCCATCCATTGCTGAGGTCAAGAATGGTGCAGCTATACTTCCACTCCCTGATACGTCTTTATGGCACAGTGCTCAACTAAGCACAGGGAAAACTTTACCTTTTTACCTTATATCAGATGAGGTATCACCTTGATGCACTGGTCCTAATTCAAATTCACCTTGGCTCTAAGTTCTGTCCTTCTTGGTGGAAACTGTTGGTCTTCGACTCCTTGCTCTGCATATCACAGAATTTTCTATATTCAGGGTCTGCTCTTCTAGTAAAAATTCTTTCTGCTAGATGCACTTCAGCTGTTAATGTTGTTAGTAAGGATGGTGATGTATTTGGAAGCAAAACTGTTTCTCTTAATTATATTCCATAATGATACACTCTCAGTTATTAAAATACTAAATGTATTTACTATGAATGCAGGTATGTGTGTTTGCACTTACTAATTTCTTATTATTGTCTAAATAATACAAGTTGCCATGCTTCGCTTTTAATTTGTGTTGTGTTTTTAAAATGTCTATTTTACTAAGTATAAATCTGTATTAAAATATGGTATTATTTTTTGGGGTGGGGTGCTTAAGGACTCCGAAACTGTACTTAAAATACAGAAAAAATGTCTAAGAGTGATTAAAGGTGTTAATAATAAAGTATCCTGTAGAACTACGTTTAGTGAATTTAAAATTTATCTCATTATATATATTCAAGCTTTTAAGTTTTATAATAAAGAATAAGATATATACAACTCGGTGTTCTGACATTCACAGCTACAATACCATACATAATCATAATTTGTATGTCCAATTTTGTAATACCGATCATTGCAAAAAAGGTGTAATTAATATGGGAACTAAAATATTTAATAGCCTTCCCATTGAATTGAAAAAAGTTAAAATTTTAACGTTTTTAAGAGGAAACTAAAAAATTATTTGTTGTGCAGCGCTATTCTCTTCATGAATTTTCAACTAATGTTGGATTGATGACTAGCTTGTTGACTGTCTTTTGGTTTGCAAATTTTTAATATTGTGTTTATATGTTTATACTACTGACATTTTTCTTTTGGTCTTTTGTATTTTTTATTATTATGTTCCTTATAACAGTTGCTACATTATAGTGATAAATCACTGTGTAAATTTTATGTTACTCTGACGTGTGATGTATTCGTTATTATTTCTTGACATGTCCAATTGTATTCACTTCAGTTATGGACGAAAATAAAGTTGAAATGTAAATTCATTCATGCATAAATGTAATCAAAGTACAAATGTACCACATAAATCATACTTGGTTGCTTATCAGGATTATCAATTTTGAAGACCAAAGTTATTCTTAAAACACAATTTTGATTCCTATTTCAGATATGTGATGATAAAAAGAATCACTAAAAAGGTAAATTCCACTTTAATTCATGTTAGCAAATACCAACAACTGAAGACAGAAAGAAATTTAACAGATAAAAAACAAATAAACAACAGAATAAAATATAAACTATGCATAAAAATAATTCATAACAAAATATAAAAATGTATGAGCAAATCATAAGTCGGTACCAGGAATTATGTGGATTTTACAGCACTGACAGCAGCTTTATAAATCAACTGACATTTTAAGCTTAATTTGAATAACATTTAGGATAAAATACAAACAATGTTGGCAAGGGGAGAAAAAAATATTATTTATACAAAGTCTAATTTTATGTACAGTCATGCATCTAAGACTGCACAGCCACATAATGAAGTAGAACATAAAATTGCAAGTGGAAACAAAAGAAACACAAGCAGAACTTCAACAGCAAATTCTCTGCAACATCTGTGCTCTTACACAGTGCAACAGCAACGAGTGCCTGCAAAATGTATGCTTGAATATCAATTCACACTTATCATAAAGGCTCTTGCACTAAACTTCCCTTTATCTGGTACCTACACATCCAGAATTCTCTCAGAACACGCAAAAATGTCAAACCAAACTTCTGATTTTATAAAGTTACTTCAAAAGTAAAGCTGCAAAGTGCACAACTTCAACCACCATGCAGAAATTCTCCTGGGTACCATGTGAAGTGCTGCCCACTATCGGGCTTATGCAGATACCATTACAGTTACGTGATGCATGATTACAACAGGGGTTAGCTGAACTTGTGATTGTGTTTCAGAATATCTAATAACTTTAACCCAACAATTCTGTCTTCTACGAAGACTCCTATGCAAGAATTAAAATGAAAACGTGTTTTGACTTTGAAACACAAAATTGAAACACTGAGACTGGAAACTACTTAATATTCTGTGCAAAATTAGGTTCTGTAAGCTGTATGCAACTGGTATGTTCATGTAACCAGCATACAACATTCCTAGTATGTGCTGGATGACAGGAAGTTTAGGGCATGTAAATATTTATCAAACAGGCAGTGATTAACAAAATTCAAAAACACCTTTCTAATGGGAAATATTAGAACTGAAACAAGAGCTCTAGAAATGAACAAATGCTTAAATAAGAGTTAATGCAGGAGATATGAGGCTTTCAATGTGGCGAAAATTTAGACTGTGGTCTTCTGGGGTATAACACCATAAAGTCTTGAAGGTTACCAGTATGGAAACCTGATGCCTCCACCATATAGTAGAAGGACACCTCATAGATACATCTGAATGTGTACATATCCTGTACCATTTAATTTAATTACTTTTCCATTAGAAAATTCCTTACTCCTAGGTGAATTACCTTTGTATAGTTTTAATTTTGCATTAATGATATTTTAGTCATAGAACTAAATGATGATTTCATATTTTTTTTTATTGCTAGTGGGGTGGGACTACGTCCCTTGTACTGCAGCCACGTCTGACCTATTGTACCAGCCTCAGATGATAGGTGAGGGTGATTCTGGAGCAACTGGTGGAATGAAGATTGGCAGGGGAAACCGAAGTACTTGGAGAAAACCTGCCCCAGAGCCACTTTGTCCACCACAAATCCCACTTGACCAGACCCGGGCCGCCAAGGTGGGAAGCCAGCGACTAATTGCTTGAGCTATGTTGTGGCCCTATGATTTCATATTGCATATTATACAGCATACAAAACTGTGTTTTCTTATATGAGAAATATTGCTGACTTTGAAGTAGGTAATAGTTCAAATTATTCAGTACTGTGTTAATCAGGTTTGCTGCATTAATTAATTAAATTTATCTATGAAGTTCATGCTACTAGTAACAAACTTAACTAAGACATAATACTGTCAATGCCAAAAGAGGTGCTGGTGTGGAAGCTGAAAAAATTTGCAAGCTCTTTTGGTTTTTTTAATAACTACAGGACATAAGGAGAATAGAGGTTCTGTCACAGCCTTTCCTTCATGACATGCAGCCAGTTTTCTAGAATGAGGTCATCATAACCATTACATCTGGTTTGAAGGAAATGTTACTACAACAATTTGTATCATTTAAAAGTTCAATTCTAAAGTTTTGGTTTGATTTACTTAATATGTCTTTTGAATAACCATTAAGTTCAATCAACTTCATACCACCCCTCCAAAAGCCAACCTTGATGTCCTCATTGCAGAGGGGGGTAACATCTGAAAAGTTGGTGCGAAGCCAAAGGGTGAGGCATCGTGCCGAGGGCTGCATAGCATTGGGGTGGAATCTAGCCAGGGTTGTTAACAATTCCCTTGGGGCACCAGGCAGCACCCCATTGTATTTATACCTTCCACCTGTATTCGGTGCTGTGGGTGGTGACCTTTTAGATCCCCAATACTCGTGTGATCATTAATGGTTATCAGTAGTATAACAACCATGTCCACAGGACTTAAAAACAGGACTACCCTCCCAGAAGATCCTTACAAGAAATACTTCAGTGGAGGGCCAGGAACTCAAGTGCACCCATCAAGGGGTGCTGATGCAACCAGCGAACATGTTGTTGAGATTTCAGCCAAAGGAAGGGACAAACTGGTAGTGAGAAACCTGCCTCAGGTAACATCAAGGACCCTTTCCTCAGGGGTCAGTAGTCCTGACATACCACAGCATGGAGTAAGCACTTCTAGCACACCCAAAGAAGGCCTAAGACCTCTAGCCTCAGGAACAGGCATACTCCACCTAGCAAGGACAAGCCAAGCAGGAACAGAGGACAGTCACCAACCAGGAAATGCAGGAATACCCAAGCATGGAGTAACCTCGACTGGGACCTCTCAGAGGCCAAGGCCTGAGAATAGTACCACTACAGAAAGGGTAACCTTTGAAAAGGTCCAGGGAATCCAGTGGACCAGGGACATATAAGGAGGTGCTGACCTACTTTAAGAAAGCTATCTTCAAGGAGAATCATCCTGAAGATAAGCTAATTGAAAATTACCTGGATCAAATCCTTGATGAATTGGGACTCCAAAAGAACTACCACACCTTAGGTCCTTCAGGTTGGAGGGATGTGCATTCATTTATGTGTGCACCAACCAATAGTCTGGTCAGGGGCTCATTGGGACCACTGACAATTACAGGCTGGGATCAGGTGGCAGGCTGGAGACTACAGATGCCAGGAGCCTACTGAAGCCTGTTAAGATGACTCTCAGGACAAAGTTGCCAAGAGTCCTGGTGAGCTGCTGAAATGGATTAAGGGCCTCAACCCAGGCTTCATACTGGGCACTGGGGGATCCTTGACAAGCAACCTGAGCCAAAAGGCCAGAGATTGATCTGTCTCACAGACTGGAACTCCCAGATAGCTATCAATGGGACCAGGTATGTCAACCCTATCCAGGACCAAGATTGGAGAACAAAGGAGGGCAACAGAGAACATCACACCACTACCTATAGATCCAGGGACCCCTATGGAGAAAACCTGGTGTGCCAAGGAAGGAGAAATAAAGGAGGAAGGGATGGAAACAGACCCTTCCCCTAGTGAAATGAAAGAATAAGCAGGTGGGGAAGGGGTCACCAGCAGTATGAAACTTATACCATAGCAAAGCAGACATGGTGGTTCTATGTCAGCAGCTGGCTGAGGGAATGGCAGATGTGGCACTTATTCAGGAACTTTGGATTTATAGAGGCTAAATAAAGGGCATAACAAACTAAGGTGAAACTACAGAAATAAAAACATCTATATTCTACCAGACAGTCAAGCTGCAATCAAAGCACTTGACAATTACCAATCAACTTAAAACTGGTTTGGGACTGCCATTAATCTCTCGTGCAACTAGCCAAACATAACAGAGTTCAAATGATATGGCTGCCAGATCATGAAGATATTGTTGGCAATGAAACAGCAGA